GGATAAGAAGACAGACTGCTGCCTCAGAAGATGCTGCTGTTCAAAGACTGAAAGGGATCTGTCCTTCTTTCCCTCCTGGACTTTTATTTGGAGGAGAGAAGAGATCTGGTCCACTGTAAATACTATATGTCGTGGTAGAGATAGTTGTGATCGTGTGTATAATGTGATGTGGTATTTATTTGTATAGTCATTGTAATATATTCCCTTTCCCCCACTTTGAGTCTGGTGTGTGTTTTGTCTGGAAAAACCCATCTCACATTAGGTTGAGATGTGGGAGGGGGAATGGAGCTAGGGGATTGGATTTTGGGGCTATCTCAAACCATGACACTAAAATACTCCTTCTGCTCACAAATACATTTGCAATCTGGCCAAAACCAAAATAAATGCCATCCAAAAAGCCTCAGCCTTCACACAGAACTAAAGAATTCTGATACTGAAGACATGGAATGTGTGTTCAAATCAGAGAAGCCAAGGCTGGATGGACAGAACATCAGGTTTTGAACAGCCCTCTCTGCTAAAATTGCAGCTGGGATCAGCCACCTGGAAGATGAGTAAATTTTTGCTGTAGGTTTAGTTATGTGTTAAAAGTCATGGGAAAGAGAGGGTCAGGAAACCTTTTGGGATTATGGCCACTGGTTTCCAGGCATTTCCAGTCTTCTCTCCCATCTGTGTATCAGCACCCCCTCAGCTCACCAGGATATTCTTCACAGTTTTATCCTTCTTTACCTGATATTCTGTGGACCCCTGAGTCACAAACTTCTGTTGTTCATTAAACTTCCCGAATTTCTTGGCAATGTTGTCTGTCTGAGCCAACAAATTCTGGTATTCGCCATACTCTGCATTGAAGTCATCCTTGTAGCTCTGGCGTTGTTCATAGGACACTATAGCTGTGTATTTTCTAATGGAAGATGGAAAACATTTTGCTATTAAGATGTTCTAAGGGAACATTCTAATTCATTTCCATTCTGTAAAGCACACGTGCAATTTTACACCAAGTACATGGTGAATGTCAAGCCCAGACACCCAATCTCAAGTGAGTTCACTCCATGGCTTCCTGCTTCTACAGGCAAGCACATGTGCTTCAAGAGAATGTAGTCAGGTAACTCTAGAAATGGGCCACAGAAAACAACTTCTCCCAGTGATGCATCCCAGGCCAGATGCACCCAATCAGCATGCTGGATGATATTTGAAAAGCAAACTACAGATGTTCTTCAACATTTTGGGAAGTACCTGTGAAGCAATAACCTGGACTTCTGGCTTATGCACAGTGACATCCCCTAGCAAGAGCCCACCATAGCACCCACAGTGCAAGAGTGTAGAGAGGGAAGAAAGGAGAGGCGAAATGGGGAGAAACATGAACCTGTTTTGTTTTTCTGGCTTTTGCATACACTTTGCTTAAAAACTCTGAGTCCCTTTACACTCATACTATCTATATTAAGATTGAAATTATCTTTATGCTAAAGCTGTGATCATACTCATGAATTACGTAGCACTAAGAATCAGGAAGAGAAGCTGGAATAAACTACCAAAGTGCTTTGAGCTGGATCATGTTGCAGGTGCTCTCAGTTTTCAAACTTCTTCTATGGGTGTTATGGGGTAAAAACAGTGTTTTCCCCTGGAGTTAGAAAAGTGGTAACCCCTGAGGGGGTGGTGTTCTTGGTGTAGGGCCCAATCAGAAGCTACATTTCGCTCCTTTGAAATCAGCATATTATAACAGACCGGAAAAGAGGGAAGATGATGTAGCTGGAGAGAAGTAGCCACGTTGTGAAGCCACGAGGAGCTGAGGGGCCAGCGAGCCCTGGGGGGGCTAGGCCCCCCCAGCCCCCAGCTGGGGGCTGTGGAAGCCCAGAACAGCGTTAAAACTGGATCAGGTGCTGTAGTCAAAGGCTGGGGGAGTTTCGCCACTGCGAGTGGGCAGCAGAAGACACTGAAAGCGGCAGCGGAGCAGCACTGAACAGAGAACTGTGGCCGAGAGCCAAAAGAGATAGCAAGCAGCAGAGATGGCACATAGCCAGCTGAGAGATGCAGAGATGTTCCTGCAGGAGGGAGAGCTGGCAACAAAGCAGAGAAAACTCAGCAGAGACTGTTTTTGGGGTAAGACTGAATTACTTTCCCAAAAACCCTTGGAGACCCCTCTTAAAAGGAGGGGGTAGACTTCCATTTGAAGGGAGTCCTGAAATGCAGCAGCACTGGAGAGAGGAGCTGAGAAGCTCAGAGACATCCTGGATGGCCGGACAGAATGCGGGGGAAGTGGCCTTGCCCCGCCCCTGCTGCCACATTGGCAGCTGAGACAGAGCAAAGGAGCTCTGGTAGGACGCCTGGGGCAAAGACCGAACTGAGAGCTGCCCTGAACATTCTGACTCAAGGGAACTCGACCCCTTGAGGAAGGGACTTTCATGGGATGTCTTGCATTCTGTGATATGACCGTGGTGAAGCGAGCTTTGGTCCCTGGTGGCAGTCCACGGGCGAGACCTTCGGTTGGAGCCAAAGGGTTGAGAGGGGTGAGAGGAGACCCCTTTGTGTGTAATGGGGAGAGAGAGAGAGATTCCAGCTACAACAACTCCAGCTACGACTGCTGCTTTGGAGAGACACTGCTGCCCTGAAAGGGGAAAGGATCTTTCCTTCTTCCCTTCTGGACTTTCATTGGAGGGAAAGGAGGGATTTGACCTAATGTAAATATTGCTTTACCATAGGAGAGAGAGTTAAAGTTGTGTATATAATGTATTATAGTATTTATTTGTGTAATAATTGTAATATAATTCCCTTCCTCCCATACTGAGTCTTGTGTTATGTCTGAAAAACCCTCTCACACTGAACCAAATTGTGGGAGGGGGGCTTGGACTTGGAAATTGGATTTTTGGAGGTCTCAAACTATGATAATGGGTCAGGCAGATGGCTGATACAGCACAACCTAATTTTTCCCATGTCACTGAGACCAGGAGATTATCTGTGAGATTGTGCCAGACATGTCTCCTTTCACAGGCAAATTTTCATTTAAGTTTTTAATCCCAATCAGAACTAAGCCAACTTCATGAAATCTTGCATGAAGGTTTTTTTTCTTTAGGTTTTGATCTCGGCTTCCTACTTCAATATTCAGTTACAAAAAGTAACCATCCATAGTGGTCCTCATTAACACTGCTCCCAGCTGACTGGGAAACAGACAGCAAAGAGCCGAATCTGCTAATTTTCACCTAGCAGAGGCTGGGAATTGAAAGTGCATTGAAGTCCTCAGCCTAACATGGGAAGCACGAAACTGCTCCCCTGTAGGGCCAGGCTTTCCCTCAGTCTTTCCATGGAGCATCCCTGACTGTATCATATGGGATCCAGGCGCTGCCATGCCACCAACTCGAAGGCAGATGGAAGATGCGCCAAAGCTGCAGAGCTGCAGGAGGCCTGAGCGCCCTTGCCAATGTCCCTGCTCTCACAGAACCAATTGGCAGTGTTTGACCAGACAGACACACTTCCCCCTCCCCTACCGCACTGCAGATCCTACATGGGGACACAACACCACTGCTGCAGCTGACGCTGCGTGACTGCACTGCCAGCAAGTGTCAGGCTCATCCTGCCCTTCTCCATCACAGTATTCGTTTTGGCTCTGAGCACTGAGGGCCCATCAAAACCTTCTCAAACTCATCTTTCCAAAAGAGGAAGGAACTTAAGACTGCTCCCCACTGAGTATCAAGGGAGATAACTGTTATTTTACTCACATGAAGTAGTCTGGTTGTTCCCTTGATGACACAGGGTCTGCGGAGACAGTGAAAGTTTCTTCAACCCCTACAGAAAAGCAGAATTTTGACACCTGAGATAAACAGATTTTTCCTATAGACAAGCAAACCAACTAGATGGGCTTAAAACTGTCCTTGACCTGACTCACCATGCACTGGAGTTTCAAAAGGAGTCTGAGGTATATCCTTTTGTTGCACCTCAGAGGTGCAGAGGAAAATGGAGCTGACAGTTTCAGATGTGTTAGAAGTTGGAAGGTCTGTGGGAGGCAGCGTTGAGGAAGCAGGACTGAGGCCACCGGCTGCTGGCTGGACTCGACTGGCCAGGCGACCAATCCTCTGCTTTTTGCTCACCACAGGGAAGGTGAAATTGGAATCCAGAGGCCGTTTCTGTAATAATAACAAAATAACTAATATATGGTCAGAATTAGGCTTTGCTCCCATTCTGAGAAAGAAGCATTTCTGAACAGGCAAGTGTTGAAAATACATCATTCTCAGCTACACAGAGCTGTCAAACAAGGAAATACTGCTGCTAAATATGTGGTTTATATCATTCCTAGTTTCTCATCTTGGGATATAAAAAGTCCTTCCTCAACAGCTGAAAGGCTTTGGGAGAAAGATACTCCTTGCAGCAGCTCTATCAAAGGCTTCCTCAAAACAAGGAGATTGGGTCAGTTTTGTTTAGGTCCCAATTTCCACTTGGACACGCTGGGGTAAGACTCAGCTTTTGCTGTCACACAGCCACACGATTTACTAAAGCGGCCCTGGGAAGCAAGGCGGTGGGTGCTGATCACAGCGTGTCAAGTGCAGAGCTGGGAAGAATAGGGAAAAGCTCCAGTCTGGCTACAGTTGTCCTTCCAGCTGTACTCCAGCTGAAGCACTGGTTCATATCCTCTTCCCTCCCAAGCATCCCTGCTCAAATCCATGTACATTGGAAGCTGGGTCCAGGAGTGCCAGACATGGCTCTGCGCCAGCTGCTGAAAGAAGTCCACCTTCTGTGTGGACAGAGACAGGTCAAAAGAGGCTGCTGGGACCTGCACCATTTCCTGCTATGACTGGAAGGGGGGTGAGGGAAAAATAAAGCTGTGTCCTCCCTCCTCTATTCCAAGGCAATTCTCTCCATGGTGGAAGGCTTTCTGTGCTTCCCAGCTTATTTCTGTACACTGCGTGCACTGACGTGCAGTTTGAGGCTCAGAAAGCTTCCAACTATTCACACATGGGCTCTGCTGAACCAAAACTGGGCCTTAAATGCTGCCTAGAGGGGGAAAAACAATATTCCTCCAAGTGGATCACTACTGTAATTTGTCCTTATTCTAGTCTTTCCTAAGATTTCTATTTAGACAGTACCACAAGGATGTTTGGTGTGTTTTATGGTCTAGAGCTGCCAGATCACAAAGAACCTTGAACAGACACAACCAGGTACCAAAGACACAAACACATCTTGTCTTTAGCAGAGCTTCCTGTGCATCACAGTAAACAAATCACATCTGCAAGTTTTTTGCAGTCTTTGACACTGCAACAACCATCTTTAAAAGATTACAGGAATCCCATTAGAAAGAAATGCTTCAGGTGTGTTTATACGCTAAAAACAAGATTAGTGCTTCACATCTCAGCTGTTACACCAATAGAAAGTGTGGTAAAAATATCTTAATGCTCTGTACAGAATGTTTAAGAAATGCGCCAAATACCTCAGAAGTTCTTGATGGAGCATCTGTATCAGAAGGTCCCCAAGGTGTCAAATGGCTGGTGCTGGTGGCATTTTGAGAGAAAGCTGATTTTCTGTAAGGATGGCCCAACATTTCAGGTTACTAGCCAAAAATATCTATTGTCATACTTCTTTCCCTAGAGGGAAGTATTGTCATACTTCATTTCCCAGGAAGTTTTCTGAAATGGCTCTCATCCTTCCCCTACAGAGTGGACTTACCTAGAAAGTCTTATCTCCAAAACCTCTCTGTCTACTTCAGTGTAGCCAGGCCAATCTTTCTGAATGTCTTTAAATAAATGTTCCTTCAGACTGAAGGAATTATCCTTTGCATTCAGGTTGGCTACCTACAGGAAGATAATTAAGAAACTAAATGTTCATTACATCTAAATGCAAACTGCAGATCAAAAACTGCTACTGCAAAGCTAAATTAAAGCTGAAAAAAAAGTACCACAACAAATTATTTCCCACAGTCAAGAGAACCCCTGGGCAGTTCCTCTCCATTAAGCAGTAGAACAGTGCAAGGAAAAGAGACATAAAAGATAAGACATGAGAAGCAACAACATTAGAAAGAGATAATTAATGCCTGCCATTCTAGCAAAAAAAAACCTCTGCCCCAAAAGTTTTCAATCTTTCTTTCCTTTCCTCTCGTGGACTTGCAGTTTGGCCCATATGGATAAAATTTATCGAAAACCTTAAACAAAGAGCATTACATAAGTTGCTCATCAATTTCTAATTTAAACACTGGAGTGACACAGGTAGGAATTCGGAATAAAAGAATAGCAGGAGGGAAAAACTGCTGGCGCAAACTTCAGGATCGCACCTGCTGAAGGATCATTTCAAGGGAATCCTTGTCCTTTTGCATGACTCCATCTCTGTGTAAGTGATTAAGTAACTCTGGCTTCTTGTAATTCTTCAGAGCCAACAAGTGAATTACCCTGTCCTTGAATGGTCGGTCAGAAACTCCACTGGAAATTTTCTGGAAGATGTTTGCAGGGTTCATGGGTGTTGTTCTTTTCCTCTCAGGCACGGGATCTGAAGTGCTTTGTGGGACTCTTCTGATCTCTGTTTTTCTTTCTAAAATAAGGCCAAAAGGGAGGGAAAAAAAATGTGTCATATGGGAGGTTGGGAGAAGGCAAGGAAGTTGGCCTAAAAGTATTTACCAGGACTGATAAACCTGTATTTGTTCAGCATTTCCAGGTCTGTAAGAAGCCAGATAGTAAAGATGCATTGAGTTGGGCATTAACAAACAAACAGTCATTAACAAATGCTCATAAATGAGTGATACTTGAGGCTGGACAGGGGCCAGCAATGTGCATTGGCAGCCCAGAAAGACAACTCTGTCCAGGGCTGCACCAGCAGAGCTGGGGCCAGTAGGCTGAGAGAGAGGATATGACACAGTAGGCACTTGTCTGAAACCACTAACTTGTGTTTGGTACCTGAAAGATGCTAAATGAGTAATGGTGACAAAACAGGGAGCCTTCTCTCTTTGTATCAGGCACACAGAGACTGACCTGTTCCTATGAAGTGCTTCAATTTTGTAATGGAGGGCAAACCTTTAATACCTTTCCACGCTGGCTGCTCCCTGGACTCTGCCTTTCTGGTGTTCAACTGCAAACCTAATCACTCAAACACACACAGTTAAATTTTGTAGAACACTGTAAACTTGCCAGTTGTCTATTGAAGGCACTGCTAATGTTTTGAGAAGTTAAATTCAATGGTAATTGAATAATGCAGAAACTTCCCACAGCAGTCAAGCAAAGCACTTCCTAATGTCATGTCCCTGAAGAAAAAATAACCTGAAACCATATTGAAGCATTTACATGGAAATTAGGAAAGAGTTCTTCAACCCAAGTGTAGTCAAGCACTTGGCAGGCTCCCCAGAACAGTGATCATGGCACCAAGTCTGCCAGAGTTCAGGAAGCACTTGGACAGTGTTCTCAGGCACATGGTGGGATTCACGGAACCAGGAGCTGGACTTGATGATCTTTGTGGATCCCTTCCAATTCAGTATATTCTGTGATGCTGTGACAAACCCCAGTTCCTAACTGGTACTGCATGGAGCATGTTGCCCTATGTCCTACCAGCAACTAGACCTGTCCTACCTGAGTTTCCTCAATGCCAGCCCAAAACAAAAGTACCCCCCAATACCACAATTGCCTTACTGCTGCAAGTCTTCAGACCCCAATTACTGAATGTTAAATATTCACTTGAGATCTATTTACACCACCACCAAGAATCACACATATCATCATTCAATGTCAAACAGAACTTCCCCAATGAGAAGTTCTGAAATACATGAAAGTGGCTCCTCTCACACTGCATTACGGAGCAGTTCAAAAAACAGAGGGGGAGCAGTGCCGGCACCACCTCCTACAATCAACCCTAGACAAGCTCCCTTGGAGTCAAGGCCACACATGTTAAATTTTCTCTTTCCAAAAAGCCATGACAATGCTAGCTTAAAATGCTCTGCTGTGTACAGACAGAGCAAGAGCTGCACTTTCATTGTCAGGGATGTCCCTGCTGGCAGGCAACTGCAGCCAGAGCCAAGTGAGAGCCTATTTTACTCTGTGAAGGTGGATGTACCTGGCTCAGCTCACTGCTGCAGGCAGGACCACTGCTGCTGGTACCATTGAGAGCCTGTAAGGTGCATGTCCACCTTGTGTCTGCCTGGAGACACAAGGCTTCTTGGGGAAACAGTGCTCAGAACAGTTCAATAATGAATGATATTCACCTGAGATGTCTGAACACATCACTTGTTCCAAGAAAACACCACAGAAATTAATTACTAGGTTTAAAACTTACAGACATCCAATAAAAAATGAAAAGCAACCATACCTGAAAATGGTCCATCAGGTCCATCAGTAACCTCTGCACCTTGATTTTGTGATGCCTTTTCTGCCTGAGCCCGGAGTTTGAATTGCAACGCTCCGTAACTATAAAAACATTGAAAAATGTTGAGCCCTTCAGGCACTACTTCAACATGAGAAGTATGGTTGTATCAGGAATGTTAAAACTGGTCTTCACAGGGGAAGAAAAACATTTCCCCGTTCTGACAGCAAGCTAGGACGTAAACAGATTTCCAACTGCCTCTACACGTTCAGACTTTGCCAGTTTTACCTGTCAGTGTGGTTACAATTTCCTCACACAACTGCAGGGCTGTGCTGCTTGTTCTCCTGAGAACCGCTGCAGTGACAGCCACAGGCAGCACTCGGGCAGCTGCCCCGGCACTCTCCTGGTAGGCAGATCCTGCCCTGGAGCCTTCTTGGGTGCTGCCCTCACTCCCACTGCCCTTACCAAGCCTCCTGTGTGGGACCTGCCACAGCAATGGCCCTGACCGAGGACAGGAAACCAGCTTTGGCTCACCTGAAATGCTTCAACCACTCTAAAATGCCCAATTAAGGCTCCAAGAAAAAGCATCAACAACCTGAGTCTCAATTTACCATGTCCTTTCTGAAAGTCACAAAGCTGCACAAGGCCACTGCCCAGTATTTCAACATGATACAGCTCCAGTTTTGTCCATAGCCAAGGACTATGGATTGATCCCTCGCTCCAAAACTGCCATATTTACAACAGAAAAAAAGGCCATTTTTTAAATGGCTCTGTGTGTAACACTACTGCAAGTTCTGCCTTAACTTTGCAGGTACTTTGCACAAACTGAGCACTGCCTACACAGGGTCCGTGAAAGCTGGTCTGAACTGGATTTTGAGGAAAATTAGCAAAACCTCATTAAAACTACCTAGGCTTCCAAACCAGAATTATTTAGAGCTAAATTAGCTAAATCAATTTAATCTGACATAAAAAGTACAGTTTCATTCAAGTCATCCTTCCCAAAGAAGAAGGTGCCCTCAAAGGTGCTCAGGATAGGCAGGCCAGGAGTGGAGGCAGGACCTCTCCCTCCTAACTTAAACTCCTGCTGCTTGCTTCGTACCAGCCTTGGAAGCCTGGACCCTTTCAGATACTGTTTTTGTGGCTGTTAAGATAAGACAACTCTCCATCAAGGCCAGCATGCTGCCAACCATAATCATATTGACATACAGTTGTAGAACGGATCTGGTCAAGCTTGGACCATCCTGAGCTCCAAAACCTTTGAAAAATACCACTAAGAGGGGGAAAGTACTCAGAAGGTAATTTTTTTCTAGGAACAAAACCAAAAAGAATTCTACAGAAAAGCAAGTGTTTGTAACTAGCAAGAAGCCACGTATTGCTGGGAATTCATTTCCTACTGCAGTCATCACCAGGAACATGCTCCTGTAAAGGTTTTCACCATATGCTCAAAGCCACAGAATCCACTGAAATGTGCCATGAAAGAAAACATGAAGCAAAACTTACGTTGAGCTTGTTTGCTGGACACAGTCAAAGCTTCCCTGAGGATTATCTTTGCCAGCATTTGACAAAGGGAAGTTAAATGCATGCACTTCATTTGGCTAAAAGATAAAAATAGTTTCTGTGAAAACTTCAGTCTACACTCCATTGCTGGCAATTAACTAGGCCCATAATTTTAAATGGATAACTGTATTTTGAAGATTTTGCTACTATTTCAGTCACTAGAAAGAGCTGCTCTGTCACAATTCTCCCTCTGAAAGCAGCTGGCCACAAAACCACTGAGATAGCAGCAGTTACTCAGCTTCTAATTCAGCAAAGCATTTAATTAGCAAGTCATCCCTTCCCACTTCCCAGAATTAATAGGCATATACTTCTCTTGAAATGCAAGTGCTTGAGTACAATCGAACTGGCTGGAGCTCAGCTTACAAACAAGAGGAGAGCAGTTGGGAAATAAATCACAAAGTTGGGGCAGCATCCAACTCTGGGATTTATTTGATCCCAAGAAAACACATACTGGAGTCAGCTTCAACAAGGACTACAACTAGAAAAGATGAATGCCGATTTCAACAGGCGCAAAAACCCTTTTTGTTTTCCTCAGCTCTACATGCAATTATTTGCATAAATGTGAAATGGTTAGTCAGACCTAAAAGCCTTGGTTTGTTTGGCTGCACCGATCAGTTAGTACAGAAGGTGCCGCTTTCTGCTGGAGCTTAAAAATCATTAAAATGTCTTGAAAAAAGCCTTGTAAAAAGGGAATGGGGGTCTGAAAAGAGATGTAGAATATCCTTCACAAGAGGCTGTGCCAGGGACCTCATCTCAAGCAAAAACCCACCACGGGGAAGTAGCTGTACAGAAAATATCTGCAGGTCCAACATCCCACCAAACAAGCCCACCGTACGACACTTCTGCAATACAGGGGAGCACCAATGCAACTACAGCAACAAGAAACAGCAGGTTGAACTGCAGGACAATGATGTGAGACTTGCACATGGGACTATGCTGCTCTTGATCTGCTTTCCAGATGTTTCCACCACATTATTTTCCCAGTCCCACTGCTGGTCTACTATATCATACTGTATCTCCTGTATCCTTACAAGCAGCCATTGCAGAAGTATTTTCCAGTTTGGGAAATTGAGTAATTGATTGTTTAGCCTACAAAATGGGCATTATTTTAACAGAAGCATGCAGGAAGTCTTGCCACTGATGTCAAATGCATCTCTCCAGGCTTACAGAGATGCAGAAAGACTGTTTTCTAGATCAGCACTGAAAAGATAGAGGAGGGACTGAGCAGATCATTCCTCACTGGTGGCAGCTGCAGGAAACTTGATTCTTTTGCCTCTGTTCTAAGCTTCCCCAAAGAAAAAAATTTCATCTATGGCTGCATACAACTCCAAGGCAAATTTCATCAACCCCAAGAATCTTCCCTCACCGGCAGATTTTTCAACTGAGTTATGTAGGGACTCCCTGCTTTCAAGTGCCTGAATGTCCAGCACTGGTGTGACTTTAGGATACAAACATTAGGAGATACTTTAACAACACTAGTGTTAGTTTAACACTACAACCAGGGTGTGCTCTTAAAAGTTAGTGAAGTGAACCTACAGGGTGGCTGCCAGCAAGAAGCCTGGCTCCACCAGTATGTTCCTGCTGCTTTCTCTGGGCCAGCCAACCAGGGCATTTGACTGTTCCAGTCCTGCACAGATGCAAAGCCCCAGTCATGCAAGGAACTACAGAAGAAATTAAAAATAACAACTAAAGTAATAATTAAAAAAGTTTTCTTCTAGATCATCCTCTTGAACATCACTCCAGGAAGCACACAGCAAGGCATTTGCCAAAGGGTCCTCCTTCCCTGGAGCATCACTGGCTGTAACACAGACCAAAACTGTTTTGGTGCAGCTCCAGTTAATGCCAAAGGGCAGAGACAAGTGTCAGTAAGGATAGCAGTGCACAGGGCAGCAAGGACACCAAACCTATTCATCTATACACAGAGAAACTTCAGAAGATGCCAGCCTGGATGTGATAAAGGAAATCCCAGAAAGGAAGGCCTGAGTTGGTACAGGATCCTCTTCAACATCAAAAAAAAGGAAAAAAAGGTCTTCGCACAGGCTACAGAAAACAACAAGTGGAAGGAGAGATGTTCTGTAAAAATTAAGTCTTAAAGTTTTCATGTTTTGAAATTTGAGATTTTAGGATAAAATTATGAAGATTTCTTGCTTCAAGCTCTTTTGAAATGATAGAAGGCAGAGAGCCCTTCTAAGTCTTCTCAAATGAGAATAAGCTCCTGCTGTTAACTGACAACAAAAAAGTCAAGACTTCAAACAGACTCAGACAAACTCTGGCCAACTCTGACCAAGCACCTGTGCAACCTGGGGCAAGGCAGGCAGGTGAGAGGATCAACAGGAGTGGGCTCTGTGGCTCAGGAACACTCTCTTCCTGCCTCCTGCCTTTCATCCCTGGGCAGGGGCAGTTTTCCCAGTAAAACCCACAGCTCAGACGCTCACACATGCACCAGCACTGCAGTCTGACATCTGTGCTGTGCTTTGAGCTGGCCCCAGTGTCACCACCGGCCAGGCTGCAGCACTTCCGGATGAGTGTGGAATGCTCTTTACCCTCTGCTGCCTACTTTAAAATGTCATTTTAAATTCTACGTCCTCAAATTGGCCTGCAATTTCTTCCAATATATTGAAAGCACCATGCTGTGGGGTAGGAGAGCCATTCAAAGACATGAATATGGACATACAACAGGAATTTAGCCTCCCTCTGTGTGTCCTGAATTACTTCAAGAATTACTTTTAAATTGTTTGATTGCAGGTTTGTTTTTTTCTAATATACAGTGTCTTCAGACAACCCAGATAGTACTCAGTAGGCAGGAAACATTTACAAAACCTTAGCACACAGCTTCACAGCTGGGTTGCTGTACAAACCCTAGAGACACAGAGTTCATCTTACACCAAGAGCACTTCCCAAACACCAGAGTATTTTTCCAGCTATTCACTACAAGCAGGCACTGCTATTATTCTACAAGCAGTAACAGAAAGTAATGCAACCTGGTAGTTTTGGGTGTCAGATCTGAAAATTCCAAGTTCTGAATTTAAACCTTCATTGCAAATTTTCAGTGGCACAGTCAGCATTGAACTGGGTCAGCAATGGAGCTGAGCATTAAGGTATCACCACCTACAGACCATCAGTCCTGTCCTCCCCTTCTGGCACTGGACAGATGTTTGAGCTGGCAGACCACAACCATTTAAAATGGAGATAAAAGAAAGAAATGGTATCTTCTCCCTCCCTTATTCCTCCCCCAATGCTAATATTCTTGTCAACTATTAATAAAACAAATGATGGTCTGACATACCCAAGATGAGGAGGCAAAGCTCCTCGACGCTTGGCTCCCATCCCCAGGGAGTGCTTTGACCTCAGAACTGTGTCCCACCACCATTACTCCGTGTCCCACCTCCATGCCTTCATGTCCCACCTGCAAATGCCCCTGCTGCAGGAAGGCATCCCTTCTCAAAAGAGTGACTCTTTGTCCTGAGTCAATGCCTTTACATTAACTGGAAGAATGCCGGCACCACAACATGTGGCCACAATGACAAAGGTCAAACACCCAAGTCACATTTAAACCTGCTGGAGCCAAGCCTTCTGCAGCCCAGCAGCAATCGCTGCCACTGCCAACCCATGGGGCCTCCTCTCCCGCTGTGACAGCACAGCTCGTGTGACCATGGAACAAGGACAAATCCATGCATTTTGGCTGGGAGCTGAGCCAGAGCACAAGTTTACTGAGTGTCACAGTATGGGGAATCTCTGACTTCCACTGGAGCCTCCGTGCTGTCCCCCGTGGGCCACTTCCACCGGCATGGCTGTGTTCAGAGGGGCCCTTGGAGCACGAGGAGGCCCCAGCCCTGCCCAGCGGGTCCCGTGGGCACTGGATACCAAAACCACAGCCTAACCCCTGCCCTGTGCCAACCCACAGAGCCCAGTGCCCACCCCTCACCTGGCAGTCCTGGGAGCTCTTGTTCAGCTCAATGTGCATCCTGGTGGTGTTTGAGGCCCTGTTCCACCAGTACATGGTGGATTGTGCTCTGTCTCACAGCTCTGCCAACTCGGGCTCCCACTGCACTTCTGCTGCTCTTGCTCCCAACTGCTCCTATTGCAAAATGTGGAAGACATACAATTTTTCTTACGGAACGATGCTCATTGATGTTTGATCTCTGTATACTTTCAAACCCAATCAACAAGAGGAGATATTAAATCAATGAAAGAGAAAGCAGCCAACAAGCTCTAAGTGATGTCCAGGTGTTGGAAAGACAAATTACTCATCTGTAGAATTGCCTTATTATAGGTTCAACATATTCCAATGATCTCAGACCTAGAGGGAGGTTAACAAGGCTTAGGAAGAAATATGTACCACTGATAGTAGACACCAGGAATGCAGAATTTATGAGCCACAGGACATTTGGCAGAACACCCAAGATAGGGAAGAAACTAGTAAAGACAACCCAGCAACTGTGCTGAATGAGCTCTGACTGGGTACAAGGTAATTCCGGCAAGAGCAGATCACAACCACTGACTCATGACCACTGGCCCAAGAAATCCACGGGCTCCAAGGACGAGAAAGACTGAGCATGCAGACTAACTAGCATGAGAAGCAAGAGAATCATTAACCAATAGAGGATAGAATATAATTAGTATGACTACGAAAAAGTGACTTGTTCCCAATGAACGTTAATGCATTTGTTTGCTAAAATGTACCAACAGGGAAAGGATTGGCAGTCACTGTGCTGGCTTTGCGGATCTGCACCCCTTTCTGTGCAGAACTGCCAATAAATCAATTACCTCCACACTGTGCGTGATCAGCCTTTTGCACACTGGGTGCAAGAACCTATTTTGGGACAATGCTCTTGCTCTGACAATGACGGTTTGTCTCCAATGCCGCTCTTGCTGCGTTCCTGCTCCAGGCGCGAAACGCTCTGAGCAGTCCCGCCTCCTGTCCTTGGAAATGGGCAGTTCCACATTCCAAGGCAGAGCAAATGGCTGTGAGGTCACTGAGGTGCTTTGGGATGACCCGTGCTGGGTCTATGATCTGCCAGAGCTCACTTTCCATGCCATGAAATCTTGTCTTTATTTTCAAGACCATATCCATTTCTGCCCATATCCGGTCTCATGGCTGCCATGCTCAGATTATAATTTACTGTTTCAGTGTTTGTCTCCACTAGTTTGCGTCTTTCCCTCTGCTAGTACTTGCTTACTCTTCTATACTGCCTACTCCAAAACATCTTTATAGTACATACACACACACACACACACATACACACTTTAAATATATATATAAAGCGTGTATGTATATGTATATATACACATATATGTAAAATACACACAACCCTCTTTCTTCAAGCCATTTCTCAGTATCTACTTGTTCAGTTTCAGTTTTTTGTGATGGTCATTTCCTGGCCAAACCAAGCAATAAAATATACAAGAAGACAGTTAATGGTAACAATCTCTTGACTGTCCATATAAGGCACCATTCTGGTCCCTTCTGTGTCATTTCATATTTAGGGAAGCCTTAAGCAAGGCCTATAAATGTTGTACCTGTAGGTGTGTCTGTGCCATGTTCTCTTGCAATCAAGGTTACCTGTATGAGTTTCTTTTCAAGAATGGTTCTCTGAAACATGGATCTTTATTAGCATGACTCATTATTATATAAATAATAACATCTCAGGGACCAGCAGGGTATGGAGAGCAGCCATCAATGATTTCTTCAAAATGCCTCCAGATGTAGGTCTTGAAGTTTTCACCAGGTTACAGTGTGGGCAGCAAGTGCTAACGCAGAGTCTGCACAAAGACAAGAAAGTAGGAGGGAAAATGTCTGTCTGAGGGCCTTGGAGAGTTCATGCCTTTAATAAACTGGTCCTATATTGCCCTTCTCCTCCGAGCTCTCTGTTTTGCCTTGACACATTCTGCTCATCTATTCAGAGAGTTTTTTGCTTTTTGTTTCTCCACTTGATTGTTTGTTTGGATTTCCATTGGGCTTTTAGGCGGTGAGTGGGTGCTGCGTGGTGTGGATAATAATTTTATCTTTCAGACAGCAGGTGAATTGAAATCTGAGAACAGAGCAGTGCACTTCACCTCCCAACTGGAACTCTCCCCACCATTTCCCCTTTAGTAAGCTCCCAGACACATCCCCAAAGGAGGAAGGTGGCAGATGCTCTGCCCCACCAACAGCAACAGCATTCAGAACTTCACCTGTCAGACACACAGCTGGGAACGTTGGTGAAACAAGCTGAAGGTTTACAGTGGAAAAACAAACACCTCCTGTGATGGCAAAAGCAAAGCCCAATTTATGCTCATTTCACCCGCTGGCAGATTTTCTTTCAGCTGTTAGTTTTCCTATGGAAGAACATGGAAAGCGTAAATACTCTTCTGTCAGAAATGAAAGATTTCTGGTCAGTTTAGGATCTAGTCCAGCTCCTATTCTCATCAGGATCAAAGTGAACTAGGATACCGTAGGAGACTCAGGAAAGAATAGTGGGCAGCTTAGCAGGTGGATGATGGTTTTGCAGCTCGCTCTTTGATGTTACAGGGGGAGTTCCTGAACTCTATTCCCGAAAATAGCCTCAGGAGAACTCCATGTGCACATCCCACGGGAGTCCACAGCCTTGTGTTCTCCTTGTTGCACAGTTTTGGGGCTTGCCTCTCTAGGGAAGAACCTGTGGCCTTGCCAATGTCTGATGTTTAATTCAAGGTGTCATGGCACACTGAGCTGCAACCGCTCCAGCTCTGTAAGTGGACACCTTTAGGCCATTTACTGTGGCAGTAAATTGTTTACGCTTATCTTGCATTCACCATGTGCTTGGTGTAAAATTGCACGTGTGCTTTATAGAATAGAGGCACATTAGAATGTTCTCTCGGAACACATTAATATCCAAATATTCTCCTTTTCCCATTAGAAAATACATAGCTATATTCTCCTATGGGCAACACCAGAGCTATAAGGATGACTTCCATGCAGAGTATGGGAAACACCAGAAGTTGCTGGCTCAGATGGACAATATGGCCAAGAAATTCAGGACTTTTGATGAACAACAGAAGTTTGTGATTCAGGGATCTTCAGCATATCAGGTAAAGAAGGATAAAACTGAGAAGAAGACCCTGGCGAGCTGAGGGGGTGCTGATACCCAGATGGGGGAGAAGACAGGAAGTGCCTGGAAACTAGTGGCCGTAATCCCAAAACTGCATGCAGGGCATGCACTCGTGGAATAGGGCCCCGTTTCCGAGAGGCCCGATCCACAGTGGAGCACTCCAGAGTGGGGTCCAGGGGGCTCTCATGAACCAGGGAAAGCCCAGGTGAGCAGAGAGACGCGGGCCCCAGGCGCACCCCGAGCGAGTCGCTGCCGGCGCACAGGGACACCAGGGACATTGACACCCTCATCTGATGGGAGCTTGCTGTGCTTTATTGGCAGAACCAGGCCCGCGTCAGGGCCGCGCTCTGGGCGCTCTGGCTCTGTAAGGCCGAGGCCCTGAGCTCGGCTCAGCGGCGTCTGCGCCTCCTGCCGCCCCGGCGGCGACGGCGAGTCCGGCGTCTCCTCCGCACGCCTCGGCGACGGGAGGCGGGCGGCGCTCGGCTGCGGCTGGCGGCTGCGACCTCTGCGCGACCTCCGCCGGTAGCGGGCCATGGTGGTTGTGGCCAAGGGTTGGGGCGGCTGCCCGGCTTTTATAGGGCTGCCAGGCAGGAGCCCTTTGTGACCCCACCAGCGCTTTCCAGAGCCAACATCACCAGCGAGATCACAATGCCCGCACGGCCACACCCGTCCCCTGAGGAATCCATGGCTATGGACAGCCATGGCCTACAGGATGTGGGCGGCTGCCCTGGGGCTGCCATGGCCTTTTGGGCTAAATGGCTTAGAGGAACTCACAGCTAGTGGCACCTTGAGAGCTCTGTCACCACCTCTGTAACACGCCAAAATGGCACTGCCCAGTTTGCTCAGGAACATCCCACGCAGCTCACAGAACCGAGGCGAAACCGATGCCTTGTGTGGGAGACCACGATGAAGGGTCGAGCAAAGTCCAAACGCTCAGCAACCCCCCTGGGGTGCCTAAAGACCCCCAAGAAGACCCTCTGAGACTCTCTGTGTAGACCCCAGCAACTAATGCGTATTAAAATGTCTTTTGATAAAGAGAATACATACATATATCCCTGGCTAATAAATATGTGTCATCTTTAGAGAAGCACAAACATTAAGTCGAGTCACTCCCATGCATCCCTCATTCCTTTTACTGCTCCCTGTCCCTGTAGGTTGTGACTGAATTATGCATGCATTTCATTTGTAAAGTAGGAATATTTTGTCCTTATGTAGGAAAAAAGTGGTTTGGATCCTCATAAAGCAAGTAAAATTCCACATGTGTACAGTTTGGGTTGATCCTACACTGAGTTTTCAGAACTGAGTCCTTGAATCTGTTAGGTTTCTTGCTTTGTTTGCGGAAGGCAATGGCAGGTTTTTTTACCCCAAAGACATATACAATTTAATGAGAGCCATGTTCTTCCATCCAAATTGAAGAAGTCCATTTATACTTCAAGCTGATTATAAAGTTCCAAAAGCTCAGCTCCTTAGACCATAAAAGGTGAAAAAGTTTTCTCCTTTGCTTTGGCAATATTTAAGGAGACTACCTTGGAGTAGGTTTCCTGTATGAGTTGCGAACTACCTCAAGGTCTAGGTTTGTGATGGTTTAATAAAGCAACAATCCAGTTTGCGTGTACAAAATTGAATGCTTTATTCATCACAACTTTAGTATATATAGGGTTTTGGGAAAGAGGGACAAACATTCCATTCATAGCTGGGGTTAAAGGTCCAGGAAACACAGGGAGATATTTTTCTTCAAACAGATAAACAGATATTTCTTTATCACAATCACAAGGCAGATGGGGCAAACAAAGTGATAAAGGGATTTACCTATGAAGCCTACAAATCTGCTTAATTAAAATATAATGTAAGAATTTCAAGGAGTGGATGTAAACAGACTTTCCTTGTCTTTGTTTAAATCCCATGATTTCTGGCTAAGATTTCTGTGTCATAAAGAATTTATACTCCAACATCTCCCCCTTTTTGTTTTCAAGCTGCGAGATTGAGGCTTTCCAAAAAACTGCAATTAACCACGTTGTATACAAGATAATAAACAGAGAATACAAAGCATAATACAAAAAAATAAAACCAGGTCCATTAATATTACTATAAATGCTTTCTTTAACTAGGGTACTATACCAAACATATTAAGCAAACTAAATATGCCACCTAAGCCTTGATTATTATCTTCTTTAAGTTGAGCTGAAAGTTTCTTTAACTTATCAATGCTTTGATGTATCAATTCAGAATGAGCTAATAACAAAAATCTATAGCTGCATCTTAGAAGCAAAAGTATTCTTAAATGGATTTAACAAGAAACACTTCTGCCTTACTTTTAACACCACAAGTAAAAATTAATTTAGCAAGAAGGTCTCTTTTTCCAGACAATGTACAACTATTTATATACCTGAAAAAATGTTTCAAGCAGTTTTATGCCACTTACAGTAATCACAAAGCCAAATATGTCAACAAAATATTGGAACTAATTTTAACCATTTTACCATTGCTTCTTGCTTCCTACACTCATGTGCCCCTCTTACATGGAAAGTATAATTATACGAAAGCATTACATGTCAGAATATTTTGGGACACAAAGCTTGGCATTATAAAGACATATGAAGGAATCATATCAATGTAAAAGCATTCTGCATATCTTTATAGTCAGTTTTAAGAAAAATATGGAAGTCTTACTGTCCACCTTAATCCGTAAAAACTCTGCTTTGTTAAACCTGTTTCCATTGAATTAACCAGAAAACACTTCAAATCAAATCTGTATGTAATAGCTTGTCACCTTTGTAGTTCCTATAACTGGTATTCATGTATTTCTCAAGCCAAATTAGGCGATCAAAATTAAAC